AAATATCGTATATTAACGCATATATGTGGAACCTAGAAAAATGGTACAGACGAACTGGTTTGCAGGGCAGAAATAGAGACACAGATGTAGAGAACAAACGTATGGACACCGTGGGGGGAAGTGGCGGGGGGGGGGGGGGGGGGGGGGGGTGGGGGAGGAAGGAGGCCTCATCCCCCCGCACAGGGCCTCCAGGTACACATCCTGTCCTGGGTGCTTCCCTCCTGCCCTAGTGCCCAGGGCTCTGCCCAGTCACAAGCTGGGCACATCCTGCAACGGGAGATGTGGTTTGTCAGAAAACTCTAGGCAGGAGGCATTTTAGACCAATTCAAAGATCCCTTAGCACATACTTCCTGGCCTGCTACAAAACCTTTTCTTCAGACTCTACTGAAACCCAAAATGGAAAGGAATTCACGTCCATCCTGCCGTCTGCACCTGCCCTCAACCATGCAGGGAAACTGGAACCACCTGTAACAACTCTGCCAGCAGCCAGCTGTGTGAGCGCGCAACAGACTGAAACTAAGCCCCTGCTCTTACAGAGCGTATACATCTGGGGAGCGGCAGATAAAAACGTATGGAACAAACCAACGACGTAGCAAGTAACATGGGGGCAAGGCTGCTCCCAACTGGGTGGCCCCTGCGGTACCCCTGAGGAAGTCAGGACTGCGCCTGGATCCACGTGACAGAGGAGGCCGGCCCGTGAGCGCCCTGGGCGGAGGCAGGCGGGCGCGGGGAGGGGCCCGTCGAGGTCTGGAAGGCCTCGGCCATCAGCAACTGCAGGGTGCTAAGGGGACAGGGCCGTAACGGAGGAAGAGCACGGCCCGGCCCGGCCCCTCTGTGGGGTGGCAGCTGGCAAGGGAAGGAGCGGGCGTGCCAGGGGCCTGCGTGAGACAGGACCACGCTGGGGCAGAGAGAGGGGACAAGCCTGAGTTCTGCTCTGAAGACAGGTCGGACGGGGACTGGACGCGCGGCGAGGCAGATGCTAACGCTGATTACCCACGTGACAAAGAGAAAGCACAGTTCGGGGAGAAGATAAAGATTTGCTTTGCTTGCGCTGTGTGTCCTAAATGGAGGTCTGGGCGCTCCCGCCACCCCGTGGGCGTTTCACACGGGGCAGCCCGTCAGTGCAGGGCGAGGCAAGCGGGGAGGGACCGGCAAGGTGCTCGGGGCCCAGAGGCCGCGACGTGCCGGCCCTTTCCAGCCGCGGCAGTCCCGCCAGCGCCGGGCTCGGGGCAGGGCCCAGCTGCAGACGGGAGTCATGGGGTCATCAGCCCCCAAAGGCCAGGACGGCCCCCGCGGGGGGCGCCGGTGGGAGGGAGGCCGGAGGTCAAGGGACCACTGCAGGAAGCGGGGTAGAGAACAACCGGGGAAGAGCTTCAAAAGCTACAAAGAAGAGAAGGAGTAACTTAGACTTCTCGGCCGGCGCTCTCCCAACACGTCCACTGTCCTCCTCCTCTGCCAGCACTGCCTGCTCCTCCAGGGACACGATCACCACGACCACCACCACGACTGCCGGGGCAGCCCGACTTCAGAAGCACCAACCGGACCCGGACTGGAAAGGGATTCAGACCTGGCTCCATTCAGTCGCTTCTCACACTCACAGGTCCTAAAGTAGCGCCCACGAGAGCCTCATTTAAACGTTTTTCTGATAATACGAACACTTTGACGATTCTCAGCCCGACTTATTCAAAAATCCCAGTATTTTCTGTACTTCAACCCTCCTTGCTCCCGATGCTTCTAGTCACGAGAAGGAGTCAATGGACCAGACAGACAACACTAGTCCTGACTGCTATAAAATTTTACTGTGAATTGAAGCTTTCAGGCCAAAACCACAATGAAGGTTATCTCTAACACACACAGGTCAGCTCTATTTGTTTCCCAAAAGGTGGTCTCTATGTAGATTTTATAGTAACCTAGCAGTCAGCACTTTCATTTTTATTTGTTAAGTGAGACTGACAAGGGCACTGGATTTAGGTCAAACCCCATTTTTAACCTACAAGACCGCAACTTCGTATGTGGCTCAGTGTGGTGCAGTTCCACAGTTCATGAATCTCCTGACCTCTGTGATACTGAGATTTATAAGAAGAAATGTACATTTGGCTTCCCCTTCCTGACACAGAGCTCCTAAAACACGTGGAATTTCCTAAGTGATGAGAGCATCAAAGTGAAAAGCAGTGCCTTTCAGTGTTCATGAGAGGCTCCCTTCAACCACACGTGACTTGATGTTACGGGGTGATTTTCACTAAGCCCCTCAAGGTGCTAGGCTGGCTGTTGGGGACACCAACCATGGCATTAGAGAAATGGAACTTTCAGGCTACCCCTCCAGAGACGGGAAAGGGGCTAGAGGTTGAGTTAATCACCGAGAGTCAATGATTTAATCAATCGAACCTCCACAGAAGCCCCTAATGGAAAGGGCTCGCAGAGCTTCTGGGCTGGTGAACAGCTGGAGGCGCTGGGAGGGTGGTGCGTGCAGAGAGGGCGTGGGCGTCCACATCCACCCACACACCCCCCCACCCTGGGCATCACTCCCATCCGGCTGTTCCCCAGTTAATCTAATGAGTAATCTGTTCTCCTGCATTCTGGGAGCCGCTCCAGCAAATTATCGAACTCTAGGAGGGGTCACGGGGGCCTGATTCACAAGCAGCCTGTGAGAAGCTGGAGGAGGACAGAGCCTGTAGCCTGCAGGGTGTGTGCCAGCACCTGCGAGGGCCGCAACTGCAGCAGACCAGAGTGCAGCTCGCTGGGGCCCGCAGAGGACTGCAGACTGCTCAGGGGGGAGAACCCACAGGCCTGGGCGACACGGGCACTCGGCAGGCGGTGTATAAGGGAGACAGGTTTCCTTTAGTTGGTGTAGAGTTTTCCCTTCACCCCTTCTAAAGGGCCTGCTGTGAAATTTAGTTTTATAATGTCTTACACCCAAGAAAGAAAAAGAAATATGACTGTAAGTTGTATAAAAATCTGTGATGAACCTGAGGAAAAGTTATAAATACATTTTAGTAACTGTCTATATGAGCAATTTCATAGCTACAAAATACATTTGGCAAAGGATTTGCACGTGTATTTTTTAGGTGTTTTTGTGCTAACATTCTTTCAGGTTTTTATTCCCTATAATTAATGAAATAATGTGCTCTACACAGAAACCTGTTTTAACTTATTTTAACAGAAAAGCAAACGTGTTCTTATTCTCCACACATCCTATTCCATTTCAATTCCTAGCTACCTGGTCCCCAAGTCCACCTCTCCACTGGTAAGAACTTGAGCAGGGGAAACGGGTGTAAGTCACTGATCTTCCCAAAATCCCAACACTGCCCTTCGCTGAGCCATCACTACCTGCTAAGCACTGTACACACACTACTCCATTCAATTCTCAAAACCACCCCAGGGCTTCCCTGGTGGCGCAGGGGTTAAGAATCCGCCTGCCAATGCAGGGGTCATGGGTTCAAGCCCTGGTCCGGGAAGATCCCACATGCCGCGGAGCAACTAAGCCCGTGCCTGCAACTACTGAGCCTGTGCTCTAGAGCCTGCGAGCCACAACTACTAAGCCCACATGCTACAACTACTAAAGCCCACGCGCCTAGAGCCCATGCTCTGCAACAAAGAGAAGCCATGCAAAGAGAAGCCATGCAATGAGAAGCCCGCATACCGCACGGAAGAGTAGCCCCCGCTCACCACAGCTCGAGAAAGTCCATGCGCAGCAATGAAGACCCAACACAGCCAAAAGTAAATAAATAAAATAAATAAATTAAAAAAAAAAACACCCCAAAAGACCACAGGGGTTGCAAGAGGGTAAAATAACCCTGAAAATAATATGAAATCTCTCCCAGGTTCCTATGAAATAAATTCATTTAAAAAGCAAATTAAACCAAGAAGTCTACTATGGTAAAGTTCTAAAGCTCATTTTTGGCAAAGAACTTTACTTACTGGTCTCCCAAGCCATGATACACGCTGGGCCAACCACAGCCACGCTCACCCCTTTTCCTCGGGGTCTCAGCAGCACTCAGGGAGCTCAGCGCCCCCGCCTTCTCCAAAGTCCGGTCTCGCACACCGCACACTGCTGTCCCCCCACTTCTCGGCCCTGCCTCTGCTCGTGGTCCAGCTCTGACCTGGTGGATCAAAGGTCCAGTCCCAGCGCCTCCCCTGAGTCTCCTCACCCATCCTCCTAGCTCGTGCAGCAGGGTGACACCCACACGCCTACCTAACAGGAAACTCAAGCCCAGGCAAAATAAAAGTCTCTGATCGTCCTACACCGATTTCCAAGCTATTCACCCTCAGTCCTCAACAGCAATAAATGGTACCATCACTCAGTGAGGGGCTCAAGGTAAAACTTTAGAGCCCTCTTTTTCCTCCACCATTTTCCTACCTTCAAACAACTCCACCCCCATCAACACTGACTCTGTCCTTGAGGACAAGGAAAGTCTCCATCAGCTATCCTCTGCAGCCCAGCCGAGGAGCTTCAGCGACCCTGAAAGTTATTGCTGGTCTTGGAACGAGCAAGCTCTTTTCAGCCTAAAGAAAGCCTTCTGTGTTTGCTGTCCCTCTGTATGGAAGATGATGCCAACAAATTTACCATAATTAATCATTTCACAACTGTAGGTAATAAACTCATCTCTTCATTTGACCTGCCCCTTCTTTTCATGCCTCCATGAAGGCAGCTAACAGGGTCTGGTGCAAGGTAGGAGCTTTATCAAAAAAAAAAAAAAAAGTCCATGGAATATATTACTGCATTATTTACTTAACTCTTCATGATTAACACAGTCCACTAATCCCAAGCACAGCTGTTGACAACATAAGCCACAGTCCAGTTAGAAAGGCCAGCGGTTACTTACGGAGGCCCACAGAGTCCGGTTTGCCACCGTCATTCTTGCTCGGCTGCACAAGCGGGGCAAATGACACAGCAAGGATGCTTTTACTTTCCCAAGTGTTTTGTCCAGTTCGCATGATTTGTGTTAACTATTTAGGGGGAGAAAAGAAATAGAACGGCTTAATCTTGGAAGCGTGATCACCTTACAGTCACAATTTTGTTTTAACAGAATAACAGCAGTGATTGCTATGTAATCACTTGTATCTGAATGCAACCAAATTACTTTCGTTTAAATATTTACCATAAAATGATACAGGAGGAATCACAAATACTTGCTGTTCAAGACAGACACTTGAGCGCAAAGGGCATGACTCCGCAGGTTGTATCTGGGGTCTGAGGGCTTCTAGGGGTACTCTTCCAATCCACACCTGCCACTGGCCCCCAAAACACACGTCTCACACAGGTTCAGTTGTTTGGTTAAAGTGTTGTATTAGTAAAAAGACGTTTTCATTACTGTACCAACGAATCAACTTCATGATCTTCCATGGTGGTTATAAAATACAGACTAATTCTAATCCCAACTTGACATTTCATAGATAAATGTAATTAGTCACAAGGGGATTAGAAGTTTTACCCACTCAGCAAATACCCACCATCAGTTCTAGAGAAAAAATATTAGCTCAGTACATGACTGAAGGAAGATGAATTAGTATCTTCAATTTATATTACAGCAATCAACCTATTATATTTTACATTAGTACAACAGTATATAATAAATATTTAATAAAATACCAATGGGAAACCATATTTTAAATGTTTAAAAACGTCTCTTTAAAGGAAAACAGAAAAGGACGATTAATCTGGGAGTCTGAACTCCGGAAGCATTCAAGTAACAACATTTTTCCAAGAATGTGTTTTAATGAATGCTTTATATTCTGTCTTTTTAATAACTGACAAACACAGTACGTGGTGATGGTGAAATCCTCTGATCTGCAAATCACAAGTGTGAACTTAGGGGACCCTCAGATATACAAACTCCAAAACCACCACACTACGTCCCAGTCATCTTGGACAATCTATCTTCTACTTACAAACCACAAGGTGTTTTAAACATCTCAGAGGTAGGTTAATATGAACATAAAAGATATTTTTTGAAATGTATATTTATAAAATTTCAAAGTAAAAGAGCCACCCATTTTCTGAATAAATTAGTATTTCATACACTTATTATACCTAATAATCCCAAACCAAAGGCAGACAATAGGTGAAAAACACTTTCAAATGTGCCTACGTATACTAAGATCCAAAAATTTACTCATTTCTGGAATGGAGTTAAGCAGTTCAAACCAAACCCCAAAGAGGATTTCCTTTTCATATGTTCAGCTAGAAGCAGTTACCACATTCAGTGGCACTCGCTCCCCTCACCCGGCGAGGACCCGACCGGGGAGCAGCTCAGCGCGGCTCTCCTAACCCTAGTTAACGGGTCTTTTCCACACCTGCCTTGGTTAATAGTCAAGAGCCTGTTTCAATGTTCTCCTCTATAGACAGATCTGTGAAGAGTATTTATTTCTTCCTTAAAACTTACAGTGTACCTTTCACCGAGGTAACGCTTCCCGTCTTATGCTAAGTGCGTCTCCTACGTCAAGTGAAAGGACAGTGGGAGCTACCTGGTCTTCGACAGGCATGACCAGGATGCCCCCGACTTTCAGCAGTATCTTCATGTAGTGCTCGTGGTCCTTCTGGACTCCAGCCCCGCAGTAGACCCGGTCATACTGGTGGCTGTCTGACGCTATCTGCAGACAATTACCAACCACAAATGCAGGCTCACAGAACTCGAATCTATTCGGAAAACAGACAGCATTTTAGCTCATTAAGCAAAAGATCAGATCTAAACAAATTAACAGAGTCCAGCTTCTTGAAATAGTGAAGTTACCAAATTAATTATAAGGCTAAAATATTATAAAACTTGACTGAAATATCAGATTTATGAAGTTTAACACTGATCAAATATATTGTTTTATTATCAGTGATGCAGTGTACATTTTTTCAAAACATTAACTTTTTTTTTGCCACACTGAAACCTTACTTAAGGCTTAAAAGGTGAATATAGTGAAAAACCATCACAACACCAACCTTGGGATGCCCACAAAGGACACACAATAAGGATGAGAATCCCAAGGATCAAACAAGAGAGAAAAGGTTTCACTCCCCCCTCTCTTTCCAAAAGAAGCCAGGGGCCAGTGGACATAGAAGGGCTTGTGCAGTCTCCACTGCGGGCATCTTGCTGCAGTTAACAGTGGCAAAGCTTGTCAGGAAAAGACACTGGTGCCCTTACCCTATGCTCTTGCAACCACTAAAGAGTAGGGAGATTTTCCTAATACATTTTGGCAGAACTATGTTACAGGGCTGGAAAAGAGAGCAGAATGAAGTGTTTTTTGGCCCCCGTGATCTCCCTACACAACAAAAGAAGAGAGATGGATGGTTTCAAAGCAAAGGCATCTTATCCAGGCCACCTGTTCCTGGTTACAGGCTGGGTTCACTGTATATAGAGTTATGCTTTTACAAACTCTCCTATTTAGACTTCTACTTTATTCCTTAAGTTCTGGCAAATCTGAAAACGGTCTCTAAAATACATAATTAAAAGCCTAATGCACTAATAAAACACGTACAGTAATTTTTTTAAATTAATTCATGAAATATCCTTTCACTTTTAAGTTGATTGATGTTAATTTGACCACACAGCAAAATCAGGCTGTCATTTGAGGATGAAATAATTTACATTAAAAGTTTCGGCATGCAGTGAAAAATGACTCTGAATCATAATCACTTTTATTTTGTAAAACGTATCCTGTCCTTTGGTAATTAACAGACTTATTACGCAGTAAGTTTCCATTAAAATTCACTAAAGTACAGACACACTATGGTCATCGATATTTAAAGAAGAGTTTCGCAGCATGACGCCGTCCTCAACTTCCTGTTCCCTTGATGGAGGCGCTGGGGGCATGAGGGACAGTGTAGAGCCTGCACCCTCCTCTCCACACGGGGCTCCACACAGGGCCGGCCCCGCGCCGCCGCTCCTTCTGCGGCACCTGAGCCCCGGTGCTCACGCTTTCTGGCTCTCCCCTCCCTCCACCGCTTCCCGCACGGCTTCTCAGCACAGGTCCATGCCCCTTAGAGGGCCATGTGGGGATCCTTACAGTTCTACCTGGATGTCCCCCCTTCCAGACTCACTCCCTGGCTCTGCCCCCTACCCCACACACACTGCACTGCAGCCACAGGTTGAATTGTGGGCTTCTCATCACTTAGAGGAAATATTACAAAGTGTCTCCTGTATCTGTGTCTGTGCTGTTCCTTTGACTGAAAGGCCCCTCCCTCTCTTCTTGATAAACGCCTAGGATCACTTGGAGACACAGCTCAGATATGAGCTACACAGCGAAATCTTACCCAACTCCTTAATCAGGTCTCATTCTTTCTACTTGCATAATACACACAAAAGTGTGAACTTACCTATGTAATGGACAATGTTTAATTCCTCTTACACTCAACACAACCTAGGATTGTCTAAAATCTGGCTTTCAAATAACTAAATAATGTGGATCACGTGGTTTAATCATCTCATCAAACTCAAAGTAAGCATCCTTTAAAAAGAAAAAAGACCAGTATTTTCAATCTAAAAATCCTCGTTCTTATAAAAATTCATTTTAAATAACTTAACTTTATAATAATTTAAGCCAGTCTTAAAATTTTCAGGATGAACGTGAGCAGGGAATTTAAATTTAAAAATCTGCATTATTAAACCTCTTTTACCATTAAGTCTGTTAAATCAACTTAAAAATATGCTTATAGTTTAAAAGTTTCCTACTAGTTAAAAATACATGATAGCTCACAGAACTATTATCTAGGAAAACACCATTACAAGTAAACAACTTATAATTAAAACCACTTCTCATATTCGTGATATTTTTATATACTCTCATCCCAGCAAAATGAATTAGAAGTTTAGTGTCTGATTCTAAAATCAAATGTGTGACTCTAGCCAAGTGGCCAGTTGTGTGTCGACTGGAAATACAACGGGAAACACTCAGGCCTGCATCTAGTGGAAGAGACAGCAATCTCAGTAATTGAAGATTAATTTACAAGTGTGATAAATGCTCTAAAGGTATACGACTCCATAAATAAGACTGAGGATGCAAGGAAACGGACAGCCCTGGGGAGTGAAAGGCTCCCTGAGAAATGATTAAGCCGTGATCTGAAAGGTGAGACAGGACAATCAAAGCACACTATCCAAGATGGTAGCCACTAGCCACATGTGGATACGAGCCCCTAAAATGTGACTCGTCCACACCGAGATGTGCTGAAAGGATAAAATCACACAAGATCTCAAATATTCAGTATGAAAATGTAAAATATCTCAGTATTTATTTTATATGCGTGTGTATATGTGTGTGTATATATGTGTGTGTGTATGTGTGTGTTTGTGTGTATGTGTGTGTGTATACTTCAACAGCCGCATAAACTAAAAACACTGAACAACTACCCTTCTAACTTTATCACCTGTAAACAGGAGCGTCAAATATTTTCCTTAACACAAACTTCCCTTTGGAATATTCTCCTTGTTTTCCTGATATCTCTGAACACTTTCTCTGAATTTTAATTGTATCTCCATCACCTATTATGGGCCTCAAAAAGCACTAAGTAGGTGAGAAACAGAAGAAACAATTGTTTTGTCAGCTGTTCCACCCACCAACTTTGAATATGAACCCAAACCTGACAAACTAAACATGTTAATGAGAAGAACCCCAGGACTAGAAGAGAAACCTGCACAGAAACAGTTACAGAAAAAATATGTGCCCATGGCACCTTCTATATCAATATGATGGTTCTTGTTTTACTAAATTGGATAACTATAAATAACTGTAGCTTCATGTTACAAAATACATGATTTGTTCCCCAAGTGCCAAAAAAAAAGCAAAACTCAAACAGTAAAAAAAAAAAAACAAAACAAACCCTTTTGCCTTTAATGAATAAACCAAACCAACTGTCCTCTAACAGAAAGGTTTTTTTTGTTTGTTTTTTTTTTTGGGGTGGTATGCGGGCCTCTCACTGTTGTGGTCCCTCCCGTTGCGGAACACAGGCTCCGGACGCGCAGGCTCAGCGGCCACGGCTCACGGGCCCAGCCGCTCTGCGGCATGTGGGATCCTCCCGGACCGGGGCACGAACCCGCGTCCCCCGCATCGGCAGGCGGCCTCCCAACCACTGCACCACCAGGGAAGCCCCTAAAAGGTACTTTTTGGGGGCCTTTCTGAAGATCTTAAATAAGCTACCTTATTCTAGGAAAGAAAGTCTTTTCCCTTGTAATGCAGATCTGAACAAGTATATCTGCTTCACACTTAGGGAATATTACAAAGAATCATTACAGAGAAAAATTAGACCTCTAAATTTATAAATAATTTCTACTAATGCAAATGGACCATATACCTCTAACAAATCTATATGGGGTCTTTACGCTTTCATTTAACATACCAAATTAATTTCCTTTACCAGCATACTCAAATTTTAAAGTTTAACTGAACCTGAGACAACATTCCAAAGAGAGTAGAAGGACTGGACTATTTCTAGACACAAAATAGTAAAGCTTCAAGGACATATCAGGTAGAAAGGTGAATATTTTTAAATATAGGCACAAAAACACCTAGAACATAGTAAGTTACTAGTTATAAGAAACGCGTCTAGCAGAGACAGGGCTCCGTCCGGGTGCCGTTTATTGACACTGACAGCTATGGCTTCACCTTCTCCACCAATAATTCACGAACCCTTCACGTGATCAAAGAAAACAAAACAACTCTCAGACTGCCCGTACTTACATTATTTTTTTTAATACACAAATGGGTTATAGATTATCTTTCCTAATAAAGGACTTAGAGATGAGCTTTAGTATTTCTGACTAGGTAGAGGTGAGGATCTTACTTAGACATTCTGTATTCTGATAGTGAAATTATGGCTCATTTTTAAAATAGCACTTCATGTAAATAAATTCATATAAATCCTACTAATGATATTTTTTCAAAAGTCTATGATTAAAATTTTTCAGGCAAATGTTTATGGATGTGCTCATATACGTATGAAGAATAAATGACTGATCTGAGGCATGGATGACAGCTACCGTGTGGCTAGAGTCAATTACAACTGCTATTAATTCTTCCAGTGTAAAGAAGAAAATAAAGAGAACAGTTTCCTCCTTCAGCTTTAACTAGATTCTGAAAGCTGCATCTTCCCTAAGTTTCCACAAGCCTCTATAGGCAAAGGACATATAACAAAAATACCATTCTGTATAATCTGGAAGACTGGAGTAATAAACTAACCAGAAGTTTTCACTTTATTATAAAATACTGCTACATTATTTATAGATTTATACATAAAATCTAGGTTTAAAAATAGTGAAAGTGAAAATCCAAATTCCACCTCTTCACATCAACCACATACAAATGGAACCTGAGAAGGGAAGAAAAAAGAAAAACCAGCAAAACAAAAATAAACAAAAAAAAAGAAAGACAAGAGACCTACCAAAAGACTTCCTATGTGGTTATCATTTTAATCCTAAAAGTATGGTTCTTGTGTTCTCTTCCAGTTTTCATACTTGATTTAGGGGAGCTCATTAAAATTTTATGTCTGTTAGTAACGTGAAAATTAGCAATCATTTTTATACTTTGAAGAAAATTTCCAAAACAAAATTTCCCTGATACAGATACCTTATACTCCTATATTACACCAAATTATACTTCCTAACAACGTAAGTTACCTGTATACAAAAAAAAAAGTTAAACAGTTCTAAAATGTAA